GAACTTATTTCCACCAAGAAGGCCACGGTGCTCTGTGTGTTCGGAGAAAGAGAGGAATTTAAGAGTGATGGTGGAGTTGTGTGATTGTGTTGTTGTTCTTCCTCGGGTACTGGTAACTGTTGCATTGTAGAAGAATTTGTGAATTCTTCAAGAAAATATCACGCAACCCTGTAATAGAAGCCTTACTGGAAAGGAGATTCCTGGAGATGCCAGGAACAGGTGCCAGAATATCGTTTATAGATAGACCTAGCAGGTTACACACAAAGAAAAAGGCACACAAAATACTGTAGTAGGTACAGTAGCGTATAGCATACCAAAGTAAGGGTGCCTCAAATACTTTAGCAAAACATATAAACACTTATTTACATGTGATAACTTGTTTTACTGTATTTCAATGACATGACTAGAATTGACAGAAATCACTTTTTTGTCACGTTTTTTAACCCAATACGCTTGCCCTTAACGGCTTAGCGACAGGATCAGATTGTGCTCCCCTCACCTGTGGCGAAAGGCAGGCAGGGTGCCCCCCCTTGCGTGCTGCCTCACACTCAGTTTTCTCACAGTTCTCCTCTCCTCCCTGGCAACCGCAGGTTCACACAGAGCAACAAAAGCCAGAGAAAGAGACGGCTTGGGGAGCGAGTAATGAAAGAGCAGGGGCACACAGGAGACACGTACGAGGCTTTTTAAAGATGTTTCAGCAGAAAAAGAGTATAAACCCTGTTGACAGGTAAGGGGATGTCTTGAAGCTGAACAACAGGAACTACAGAGCACGTTCTACTGTGTGTGCCTCTTGACAGTCCATTCACAAGAGCTCACACCAGGCCACTGAAGCAGTGCAGGTTTTGCACCGGACTCTAAGCTGCCACTGTTCTTGCCCATATACAATCTGAGAGCACAAAATGAAAACTAACTGGACCAGGACAATAAACACAAATGTAAAACATATTCACAAGGAACTCATACTGACCAACCAGTCTTGTTTCCTTGTGTGCTTTAGATTCATTAGCAGAACGGTCTTTTATTCCAAGTGATGGACGCATAGTGCTGTAACTTACTGGCAGTTTTTGTTTCAAGATGCACCAGTCTTCAGACTGCAACCAACACGTAGCCTGTCTGTACAATTAACAGGGCAGGCTCCCTGCATACCCGAGGGCATTAGTAAACACAACAGAAGGTACGTGGTGCAGAAGACCAGAAGGAAGGTGACAAATGAGAGGAGGTCACTGGCCCTGCTGGACAGATAGTCCTCCCCTACAACACACTTTTAGTATCCAGTCAGGTCCCTGTTCTAAAATAAGCCTTCAAAAAAGAAGAATTAGAGTATCCCGGATTAACTGCACTGCATATCGCAACATTTGAATGACATGTGGAGCTGTGTGAGGAAAATGGACACTTTAAATCTAGTATTTTGACACAGATCGTAACTGACTGAACAGTTCCCCTGGATCCGGAGGATCTTAAACCTTTCAACAGAATAACTTTAAACCACCAGCAGACAAAACAAGGTGTATGGACACAACAGCAATGGCAAGGTGCTCCATCTTTCACTGGTTCTTAGTGTACAATGGATACAAGTATAAACATGGCACCAAGAAGCCAACTCCTGGACGTCATAAGTCTAACTGGACACTTGGATTTGTAATAATCATTAGCTGTTTTATTACAATATGGTGACCTCTGATGTTAACCGGCTGCAGGCTGCGCACAGTCACGCGAGCCTTCATTCACACTACTTCCTGCATTCCAGCCCTGCGCGCAGCGTCACCACGGGAGGCGGAGGCGTGCTGCAGTCCCCATAGCAACCGGAGAGCGGGACGGCGCGGCTGGGAGAGGAGCCCTTTCTGGCCTCCTGCGACTGCGACCGGCCTTTCATCTCGGGTCACTCGCCAGCAATCCGAGATCAAAACAGCCTCCCGCCAGGCCGCTGTGGCACGCCGCGTCCTTTGAAATACTCCATTAGGCTGATGCAGGAGGAGAAACAGTGAAGCCCAGCGAGGCGGGAAGGAAAGCAGAAACGCTGGAGTTTGGGGAACGATGAGGAGCACTTCCTTCCTCAAACCAGGGATCCAAAAGTGCGCTTTTCAACGTTGCAGCAGCTCGACAAACAGCAGCTGCAAAACCAGTGAACTGCAGGTAACTGAGCACGACTACAACCCAGTTTAGGAGGGAGATTTCACCCGGCAATTTCCAACTTTTTTTTTATCTGACTGCAAGTGTGGGGTTTAAAAAGTATCCAGATAGTAATATGCAGCTTTCTCTCATGAGAGCCATGGAGTTATACTTAATCAGTTAAAAGCAATCTATTTTCTTCTAAGCGCTTAATTAACGCAAAGTTTTAAAACCCAATGACACACAAGGGATGCCCCAGGCGTTTAACTGTAGCATTTAATTGGGTTGACTTTGATAACCTCAATATTTCTCACTCTGGCTCACATCGACCATGGGGGTCAGTCAGAGAACAGGCCGCGTGCATATTACCCTGTTAAAACACAGCGACACCCTTGTGACCTCGTTCATGAAACAACCGTCAAGAAGATTAAAGTGAAGGTCTTGTCATCCTGACAGGTTAAAAGTGATAGAAAATTACCGGCTAGTGTCAAACCAACCAGTAAAAGTCAGGACATGAATGAAAGTATGATGGCAGAGCTGAAGGCAAAGTGCACCATGGTAATGGCCTGTGAAATTCACATTAATATGACAGAAACGCAAGGACCACCGATATCTTTCATTCATAATACCCATAATATAAAGTATAATTGTATAAGAGGTGCTTGTGGGACGGACCGATAAATTACAATAAAGTGTCTACAAAAGAGAAAAAACACATTTGAGATGATCAATGAGGAGTTGGGCAGAAGCTGACATCTTCACATGATGTGAAAAATGCGAGTGAAATAGTCTGTATTAATATCTCCACAATTATATATGCGTTCAGTGTAGGGGCATACTTTATAGGAAATCTTGGGTATCTTCCCCCTTCTCTCTGTGGCATACCCAGGAATAAAGGTTGTGTGAAGACCTCAGCTACTAGCACATTACAGTAATGTAGCTTTCCACCCTAATCACGATAGTTTCATCATACAGAAGCTCAGCTGCTTGCCGGTGTTAAAAAATACAATTGCACCAAAGACTCAAACTTTGGAGGTTCTGTATCAAAACCTTGCAGATTTTCTCCAAGCTGTCAGCATTTCAGTTGGAACACAAGAGAAGGTCAGAAGAGGAGGTCCTCAGTCCAGCCAACAACGTGGTTGCGTTAAGACTGAAGGAGTGCACACAGCTGTTTCTCGGGCTAAGGCCAGGACACCAGCTTGTAACCGACCATGGGGCCAGATAGCTGCTTCCTCATGCTCTCAACCTATTGTGTAAGATAGTAGGGAAAGAAATCAACCACAACGGAAATGGACAATTAAAAACAGTTGGAAACAATGAACCAATAAGAGCACCGATACTGTAGACACCTGTCCGTTCCATATTGAAAAGCACCGTGCTTGTATACTGTATAAATTAGGGGAAAAAATGGCAATAGGTTGCAAAAAATTAAGCATTGTGTTTCTTGGCAAGCTTACCCTCAAGATTCACTGTTAAAGGTCATCAAAGGCTGTAATTTCAAGTCATATATACAGCCAATATTACACAACCGATCAACACTATAGGGAACTGTGGTAGCTAATTTGATGAAAGATGTATAGTACAAAAGATGTAGTGGCACATACTATCACTTAAGGCAAAGAAAAACATCAAATTGGCTTATTCCAGAATGTAATCCCATACACTCTCCGTTATGATCCTGTAGCATGGAAAAGCAAGGCAATGTTTCCAGTGCAGGCTGCTTTCACCCTCTCATTCTCTGTACAGGTACTTACAAACAAGCCATCCTGTCTTCTGAGCTAGACCTTGGTCTGGTGAGACACATCTTGTGTCGTGCTCAGAAATGGAGAAATCGTCATCTTGCAAAGTGAAGGTATGGAGCTGGCAAAATTAAGCTGGGAGACGCAATACGCCGGCTTCTTTCAAGAGGTGGCTGGATGGGATCCTCAGATCAATTAACTGCGAGCAACCACACGAGCAAAACGGGCCCAACACCCTCCTCTCGTTTGTAACCTGTCGTGTGCTCCCTCCAGCAGTGGAGTACATTTGTTTTCTCAATCACTTCCACTGTGAGCAATTAAGAGGAAAGTGGTGTACTGACACCCTGCGTATTGGTTTTGCTTTCCATCATGGTTAATAAAACCACCATGCCCGTAAACCCTATTTATGAATCGGAAAAAGGCACAATGAGACAGTTACAACCTTTACCGCCATCGTAAAACAGATGGCAGTATTTATGAGTAACCCTCCCTGTGTGAATTGAGAAATAGCTGGAGCTAGGGTTATGTATGAGATAAGCTGTGCCTGGGCAGTGTCGGGATTCCTTTTTGTTAAGAGAAAGTTTTTATTCTGTTTTAGAAAAGGATGCATTGATAATTCTAGTCAGTCATAATATATTAAAAGATTATGACTCATCAGATCTTCAAAGTATTGAAACAGAACGCTTAATATATATTAATGTATATACAGTTCTGTATATATCTTGTTAACAGTCAAACATTAAATATGATCAAAGGCTGACCTGGAATGAAGGTCCTGGAATCTTCAAATATTTGAGAAAGTTCTACATGTTTTTCTTCTTCTTTGTTTTACTTTTTATAACATTACGCCTGGTGAAGCACCTTTCCAGCAGTGGGGAAAAGTAATAAGAGATAAAATAAACTTTTCCTCAAAACAAAAAAAAACATAAAACAAATCAGATAACGGAAGAGATGAAAGTCACATCTGAAACTATTATATCTCACAGGCTGGTACCAGCAACATAACTGCTGCGCAATCCACACGAACAGAACTCGGCATACCCATTTACCCACAGACATGAGCTGGTATTTATTAGCGCAGTCTGTGTGGAACACGGGCTGTTCTTTACACGTAGCTTGGAAGAGGCCAGTTATTTTCGCAGCTTTCCTCACCTCCTGCCCAGACAGGTAATAGGCTGCCAGCAGTCCGCCGATAAATCGGATATTCACTTCAAAGACGGACACCTCGGCATTCTGGAGAAAAAAAAACAGACATGAAGTGAGATTGAGATCAAAGACAACAAGAGTGCCGAAAAAAAATAAAATAAAGACAGACCTTGCAATGAATTGATTACTAAATAACACAAAGTTAACAAATCCTTTTTCAGTACTAGACCCAAATCGTTCAGGTACTGAGGCTGTAGAGCAGTGTAACACCAGTACAGCGCGAGGAGGCCGCACTGCACAACAGAGCCTGTAAAACCCCCTGCACCCACGACAACAGCGCAGAGGTACAGTACTAACCCCAGCAGGACCCCCGAGCCTGGCTGGCGGGGGCCAGCGTGCCTACAGGTTTTCAGTCCAGCTGGGCTCGTAACTGTCTCTTCAGGTGCCACACCAGGGCCAGGAAGGAGGGCCCTCAGACCCATAGGGATACAAACCGAGTCTCCAGGCAGAGCTGGCAAGTCGGCATACTGTACTTCAAGCTCATTTCTGAACTCGGGGCAAAAGCTGCAGGCAAACTGCTTAGCAGTAAGAGCAAGAACACACCAGTAATATTAAGATCAGAATGTTTCTTTAGCCTCATTACCTACAGCAAACTGAAAACTAGAGTGAAACAAACACAGAAATATAAGATATATGTTTTGTGTTTGGGTAATTTGGGTAATTCCATGCATACATTTAATCATATTAGACAACCAACCTTGTCTATCCAGTGATATAAGATAAGATCAGATCACTTTATTAGCCATATACAGTTTCTTGCATTAGGAATGTGTCTTTTCGCAAACTCCAGCTTGCTCTCCATGAGACACAAAAGCACACCGACAGGGAGGATTTCTCTGGATTCCTCTGCCGGCTGCAGGATACGAACCGGCAACCTTCCAGCCACAGTGCCACCGCTCCACACAAGAAATATGGGAAATAATGGGATATAGTTTATTCCTAATCTTGCCTGCTTTCCTGCATTTATTGCCATGTGATCTCGCTTTAACCTCATCCCTGACTGATTCTGTTGCCCAGATAAAAACACCCTGACTCTGCTACTTTGGAAACAAGTTGAGCTGCTTTTCACTAAATGTCACAGCCGCTCAGCGTTCTGCCTCATCAATCTCTCATGAGAGTTCACAAAAGATACCGATCATTAATCTGTTTATGTTGCATTTCAGTCCTGCAGTTAATGGATATACTGTATGTTTAGAAGGCAGCACACTTCTTTCAGCCTCTTATTGCAATATGTCCAACAATATCCTTTTCAACAGATGTACTGTATATACTGTACAATAATCACAACCACTATTTACTGTGTGAATAATTATGGTGTATCAGATAAAAAAAAATCCTATAGGACAAAAAATACGTTTTGCCCAACTGACAAAAATATAGTGAAGACCGAATGACTGCTGACTGCGTTTTAACTGTATGTTGTAGAATAAACACCCGGAATTGAGAGCTTATGATTCCCTAGAATTGGACGGGTGGCCAGGGCTCCTATTATACAGTTTTCATTTCTGTAACTGCTCGATATTAAATATAACACCTGTAGAAAGATGGCTCCAAGCTCCAGGCTCCAGGCATCATCTACCTGAACCCCAGCCAGCAATGCGGGAGACAAAATCGATGTTTTCACGTGCACCACTTTCTGTAAAAGCACTGGCAGTCAGTCCTTCCTGGCACACAGCAGGGAAAGGAATCCTGGCTTCAGTGACTAGTCTCTTCAAAGCTTTTCTACTTCTTCTCAAAGGAGATGCCCCTAAATTAATCACAACTGCTTTCTGACACAAGAAAGCACAGTCAATGAAACCCTAAACAAAAGAGTTTAGTATGTATGAAGGCTTTTCAAGACACGAAATGGATGTAAACCCAGAAGTTCTCCTGTCCAAGAGCTGCCAACAGCTCCGGCCTGCTGTTTTTGTTTCCGGTCCGTTGGAGGGCAGGAAGAACTGATAAAACACCAGCCAAACGCGGGCCTCGTACATCTCCCTGTCAGATTTACCGAGTGTTTCTAGGGTTATTTAACACAAGCACAATAAAACACTTCTGCTCTCAACACCCACAGCCTCGCCCGCACAATCAGTGTCATACGGATTAGCAGCACGAATGACACAAGCTGGGAAGAGTGCTCACCTCTGAGCAAGAATAAGTGCCGCAGCATCTAAAGCAATGTATGGAGAATCCCCAATTAGCTTATTGCTGCAAACAGAATGTAATTACAGGGGCACTAAACACCGTATTTACTATCACTTCACGTTAACTTATTCTTCCCTCAAGAAAAACAATAAAAATTTACTGTGGAAAAACATATCTAAAGATATTAAAATACAATGAAGTAGTTCAGGTGGGTAGCTGCATCAGCACGGGTAGGCTGCAGAGGAACAGGTAACAGGTTTATTCCACGCTGAAAAGAGAAGAAACACAATGTTTCGGCCATGGAGCCTTCTTCAGGTGTGAGAAAGAAGGGGAAGACGGCACAGATTAAATAGCACAGGAGAACAAAAGCTGGACAAGTGGAGGAGGAGGGAGAGGGGAGAGGCAGAGAGGCCACTCAGGAAGTGCAAAGTGGAGAGGGCTGGAGAAAGGTGTGGAGTCAAAACCTGCATGAGAATAGAGACGATGACATGAAAATAAGTCTGTCAATGAGAGAAGGGGGAAGGTGTAACTTGTTTCAGGATGAGTTATTAAAATATAATGCTGCACTAGTAACACTAGTCGTTCCATAATACCTTATACTGTTCAATTATGAAATTTTACAACAAAATATAATCTGTCATCTTGCATCATTCATATTTCAGTAATCACATTTAAGTAGAGATGTAAAAGCCACTGACACAAACTAACCCATTGTTTTGTGATTTAAGATTCTTTTCATATGACTGTCAGAAATAAAAGATTTCCTCTCACTTCCTTTTAAAATGCATCGCCACAAAACGTATTTTATCAGCATTGGGTTATTGTTATCAGTTTAGCACAGGACATTTTATTTTTTACAGCGCAGTTTCTCGACTGCCGTCTCCTCTCAGATGTTTACCGCCTTCTTTCCAGTTCCCGTCGCTGTGGGACTGCCTTTGTGCGACAGCGTGCGTGCCCGCAGTGAACCACACCGATACACAAGGCAGAGCTCCCTTGGACCCGAGCCGGAGTATCAGCCGAGGCCTCCTGGGAGCTCCAACAGCGAGCCACGTTTGTTCATAACTCTGCTGCAACTCGACTCATGTCTTGCCAACCTTCAAGCTCTTAATACTCTTTAGCTACAGAAGAAACAGCGTCCAACAGACTCACTGCAGTGCAGGAAACCACAAGCGCCTCTCCAGCCATGTGCAGTGCTCTGATACTTTCCTGACAAGGAGGAGCCTCAACTCGGAGTAGCTAAGCAAGCTGTACAGAAAGTACAATTTAGACACAACAAACGAGAGCAAATACTGGTGTGCTAATAAAAAAAAATCTTTAATGTAACTGCCTGCCCAGGCACCGCAAAGTCCTTTAAAAAATAAAATCTCAGGAATTAAAATGAACTAAAGCCCCCCTAGACTGTCAGTCTTCTATGAAAGTTTCTCCGCACAGAAGAGTCTGTGATCACAAGGACATTGGACATGCAGGAACCTGTAAAAAAGGAACACAGCCTTCAATCCAAAATGCAACATAATCTGGAAGCAGCAGCAATGAGAAGACATAGCAGAGAGAGAATCAAAGTGATTTGCACCTGCTGAGAATGTGGCACCTGCATTCTGAGCAAGCCGTGATCTATCACGGCCTCTAAACTTCTTAGACCATGGCATTGCTTCTGCAGGCTTTATTTGTCATGCACATGTAGTGATAAAACCACAATGATCACGGAACACCTCCCAATGACCGCAGTCAATTCAAAATTCTTTAAAAATCTATGTTTAAGGGAAGAAATACCGTGGCTGGGCATGGCAAAATGCTCAGGTCTTTTGAAGAAGAACAAAAAACAAGAAGAACATAAGAAAGGTTGTAAACAGCTCCTCTGGCCTGTTTGGCAATTAGAAGTTAAAATCCAAGAATCTCACCCAGCTGTTTCTTTGAAGAAGCTAAGGTACAGGCTTCAGTCAACGGGGTAGCTTATTCCACAAGCCTTGGAATAAAGAAATACCCCCTGTTCTCAGTTTTAAATGCACTTCAACGTTGTTTCCACTGTTCATGCTGAAGAATTCCACTAGGCTGACTCGGGGCCTTTGAGGACTCTGAATACTTGTACTGGGTCCCCTCGTAGCCTTCTCTGCACAAGACTAAAAAAGTTCACTTTCTTCAGCCTTTAGGGCTAGGACATTCCCCTAAGCACTGGAATGAAAGTAGTTTGCCTTTCAAACCCTCTTTTAGCTCAGCTTCCGCAGTTTTGCATTCAGTTTATGTTTCTATGACCGGCATTGAAAACCCCACACGTGCCTGTATTAAACATCATCTGCAAGATGTTTGCCCAGACACTAATTTAATCTCATTTGTTTTTAATTTAATTTTCTGCTTCTACTGCGTTTAACCCTCCCAATTTTCTATTGTCTGCAAACTTGGCTCATTTACATCGTATACTGTACCTGAAATTAGATTTAATTAAATTAACAGGAGCAGTGGTCCTAGTACAGATCCTTGAAGTACTCCCCTAATTACATCACCCAAATCTAGGCATTCACCCCTTCTCTGTTCCCCCTTAACTGGTGTTCTATTTAATAACACATTTTAAATTCAGATATTTGTGTATCTGAATTTTCATAAAACATAAGGAATAATTCATTTGTAGAATACTACAGAAATGTAGTCCCTCAGGAAATTCCACGTGGGACAGAAACTGGTAGAATTCTATTAATTAGAAGAAGATAATCTCAAACATATGTCCAAAACATTGTAAACTGATTTCACTTTTAAAGCAGTTTTATGTAAAAAGAATCTGCAAAACCCAAATCTAATGTTTGTTATGAGAAACATTTTTTTGTGTGGCAAGCTGAATGGCACGTATTGAAGTGCACTTCCACAGATCGTGACTCTGGACCTGCGTTACAGTAGTTAATATGCGAGATAAA